GAGCCGACGCCATTGCAAACTAAATACGAATTTATTCAGATAAATTACTTAAATTTTATACTATATACCTTTACAAATAAAAATTCCATCCTTATGAAAAAAAATGTTCAACGAACGTTTACTTCAACCCAAATTGACAATGAAGTAAGAGAACATTGAGTTGCTATAATCGGAACTGTTCTCAGAACGCTTCCTTCACAGCAGTTAGAGAAAATTACGGCCGTGGCTGAAGGACTGTACCCCCAATGATTTCGGTTTGGATGACTTATGTTTTGGTCTATTTTTTTTTAGTTTTTCATAGGAAAGGGCTTTGGATGGAAATATGGAAAATAAAAGTTGGGTAAAATCTTGTTTAGGAGGCAATATAATCGCCGAACATCAAAGGATCCCCGGTCCAATTCTGTAAAATTATTCCTTTGGATTACTTGGGAACAGGCGGATAGAATAAATTAATGAATTAACTGAAAGGGTAAATTTTTCTTCTTCTCAGCATTTCTGATTTGGCAGGCTTCACTAGCCATATTTTGAAATATGAAGCAAAATTGAGCAAAAGTGGTGTGGTGTTGTGAAGGAAAAAGAATCAAACTTGTGATAGTTTAACGATGCTCGAAGCATTATGTCATTCAGTCATTCTGTTCCTCGTAAGATAAATTGTCTAAATTACGGCGAGGTTGTTTATCATTATTGAGGAAATAAAATTTTGGCGAAGGAAAAAGAAAGAAAAAGAAGGAAAATACTCCAGAGAGCCCTACAGGACAAGATGAATAAAAATAACAAAAAAATAAAAAATGAGTAAAATATTCAATGTAGGAATTTGAAGTGAATGAACGAAGAAAGAATGGCAATGGTAAGACAGTTATTTAAATTGTTCGAGAATTTTTATCTTCAACCCACTTTCTCAAAGAATATTCCGAAAAATTACTTCCATACTTCCGCGGAACAATTCAGCAGTGATAGTGAAAAGTATAAAAAAGGTTGGTTGAAATTTTTTTTTCACTCATCGAGGAAAGGAAATATGACTTTCGCGCGTTGGTTTTCGCTCTCTCGAACAATTTAAACTTAATTACATTGAGGCATTTAATTTGTTCTTGACTGAAGAATTATCGTAGATTCTGGTCATTTTATTAAAAAAGTTATATCGATTTTATCTATGAAAAGAAATCCTTTGAAATTATGCGCAAATAGCATGCTTCTCCTTCTTCTTATGGCTAACGCCATTACTACTGCTACTAGCTACAAGGGTAAGGCGTTTCCAAGCTGCTCGGTCCGACGCCATCGCTAATAGTAATAGAAGCCATTTTTTTTCCATCGTCTAACTCCATATATCGTTGGTCCATCTATACGTTTAAAATCTTTCATGATTATATTATTCCAAGTCTTTATTGGCTCTCTTCGCCATCCACCACAGAGTTTAGCAAGTAACATTATATATATTAACTCTTGTGGTGGGTGACGAAGAACATGCCTTAACCAGCGAAGGTGACAAGGTGATGGTACTGTTAATGCAAGTGGTAATGCAAGTGAGCGATGATGAATGCGATCATGTGAGATTTTGTCCAAATAAAATGCATCGAGAATCAAGTGAAATTTTAAATGAAATTTTAAAAAATTTCTAAACGGTACCTTAATTTTTTATATTTCAATTAGTTTATCACATTATATGTTTTATATTTCATTTATTTTCGTATTATTTGTTTTTTTTATTCTTGGGTTTTTTATTGTTTTGCATTTTTTGTATATTTTATTATATTTTCCAAATTTTTATTTTTTTACGAATTCTAAAATATTGTCAGGTACCAGAGTAGCAAAATCAAGAATCACAACAATGGAAGGAACAGTTGGTTCTGAACAATGGCTTAGCATTGATACTTCATCAATTGATGAACATTTACCTACAGTAGAAATTTATAAACAACGTTTTAATGGAATTTTGTTTGAAGAACTTCCAATAGTCTATATTAAAGTGTCAAGAAATAATACAATAATTGAGGGTCGAGATTATAAGGTTTCTTATTTTGCTGCAATTTTTTTAAAAAATTTGACTTTTTATACACGAACTGTGAGGCGATAAATATGAACGTTTTTTTAAATAATTTCAGATTTTTTTGGTTGTAAAAAATACAAATCGCATTTTAGTTATGTTCTAGGATATAAGGTTTTTAAGTAAAATATCATTCTCTTGAAACATACAAATTGTTCAAATTTTTTATGCATTTGTCGCTTATTGTAAAAAAAAAAGGTCGGAAAATATGAGTTTCTTTGTTCTAATTAAAGAGAATTTTGAATTTTAAGTTCAACTCGATTATGTACACGTCTTGTCGATTAGAGGGATTCATAAATGCACGTAAAAAGACTTCTATAGCTGGTACTACGACAGGCTATGGAGCTGGGCAAAAATTGTTACGACGAGGAGTTCGCACTGTTCGAGTTAGGGTATTTATTTTTTATTTTGAATTTTGTTGTAGACATGAATTTTTGCAAAAATTCCATACAGACATCGCATATAGATTTGCAAATAGGTTAGAAAAGACGATTTTACCTTCCATTCTATTTTATTCTAAAAATAAATATAAAGTAAACCAAAGTATAAGCGTTGCGCTGTGGCTATTTTCTTATGTTCGCTGCGGCAATTCCAATTTTAAATTATTTTAAATTATTTTTCAATAAGCCTTATTTATGTTTCATTTATTCAGGTACGGGGTTTGGGACCAGGAAGGATGACATCAGTTAAAGGTCTGACAATGGCTGGTATCGAAGTTGTATCTATTACCGATTTTACATGTTTGCCTGAATTAGGACCACGTCCAAGAAAAGCTCGCCGTCTTTGATATTTTTCGCTCTCAGATGTAAATCATCCATTGTTTTCTTTCACCAGTTTGCTTTCTTTTCCTGAAAGTTCTTCTGTTCACAAAAATTGTAACAAACTTCCTTAGTGGAACTTTTTATTCTGTTGGCGCAGTGCATCCTGAATACGGTGATTTTGCCTTAATTTTTTCATCTTATAAGCTGGATTTATGGGATGTATAAACAACATGTTTTCTAACAGCATGTATTTTGGATAAGAATTCGAAAATTCTTATTATTTTTCGCTTGTTTTATGTGAAAGAAAGAGGTAGGTAAATAATGAGTTTAAAAAAAGGTTTGAATGATGATTATATTAAGATGGGCAAGACTTTGTTATGGGTTGTATTTTTGGCTAAAAAATTTTGTTGAGCAAAAATTACTTCCTCAGAATTTTAAAAGTTTGCTCATTTTTACTCCCTTTGTCACAAGCCTTTGAACTAGAGGTTCTTATCATCGATTTTTGACAGTATGATAAAGTTTAAAGACTTTGTATGTGCTCTTTTTTCAGTCAGTGTTTCTAATTGTATGAACAGTTGGAAGTGCATTGGAAAAGTAAATATGTGAAGTAAGTATGACAATTTGCAGCTTATATTGTTGACTATATGCACTGCTGATATTACCGAAGTTTGTTAACATTATTCATTGGTAATTGAAAAAACTAAATTTCAGTCAGGAATAATGAAAAATTCTTTTCGTATACATATTTTCAAAGTCGTAAATAACCTCATTTTAAATTAAAAATCTCAGTTTTAAATGCATTCTTTCTTGATTATTCTTCATGATTCATTTTCTGATAATTATATTTAATTTGAATTCGAAATTTATTTATAAAAAACTGATTTGAAATATTGGCTGTATAGTTGATGGCTTACTATTCATTTATCGCACTTCTTGTTTTTAGTCGAGAAAAAAGGTGCAAAATAATTGAGGACGTTGACCGTATATGATTGGTTCTAAGATAATTTTACATAGTTCGATTTTATTTTATTCCTGTTGATGAGGATTTTTCTGAGCATTTAAAGTAATTTTCAATGAATCTTTGTCGTCTTCATCGCAATTTTCTTGTTCTTCTACTTCTTCGATAACACTGTGCTGTTCAGGTATCAAACTTAGTCTGAAAATAGAATCTGATTATCTTTAGATTTAACAAAAATCCATTAGAAAAGTGATGGTCGAGAAACTTTCTTTTCTATCGTATCACAGATATCTTTACGATTCATATTATGAGCTGTACTTATTGAATTAACAATCACATAATGTTTGGGTTGCGCGAAGAATTCCATTTCGAATGTTCAGCAAAAACCAAAGAGGCACTACTTTTAAAAAGAATTTTTATCATATCACAGGATATTTGTTAATTTCAAAAGTATCCAAATTGATCGCAGATCGACCTCGATCGAAAGTGAATGGGATGTGGATTGCTATTCATTTCATTGTTACAGTCAGCTGCATTGCCAAGTAATATTCTATCCTCGATTTCTTCAATTTCTTCTATTTCATTCAGAGATGGAACTCTGATTGAATTTTCAAATTGTGTTGTGCCAAAAAATTCCTAAATCACTTTTTGTTAAGCGCTAAAATCAAAAGTTTATCTATGAGTGACTAATTTTTTGTAAAAATTTTTTATTTGTGGAGGGTCTGATGAAGGACACGGAATGCTTCGTCTAATGGAAACCAAAGATTCCTTCCCTTTCAATTCGCGGTTTTCAATTAGCAACCCAATTTAGAACCTCAAGCGTTAGATTTTTTTGGATTTCTGTTGATATCATGAACTCCATTCACACTTCAGATGGCAAAAGGACCGCGAAATTTCGCAAACTTAAAATCTTTGTACAAATGAACCTTTAAAATATGTATTTTTCAAGAGTAATTGCTAAGTAATTGTTTTGAACGATCAGTGCATGTTCATTCTTTCTCATAGAAAAATTAGTTCAAATAAATCATTTTTAAAAGGCCAAGTGATGATGATATGATTCACCTGCACTTTTATGGCTAAGTGACAATTTCTGGTAAAAAATTCAAGCCCTAACAGACCTAATCTAACCAAAAATAATGAATACTGACAACATTTTTTTTATTTATGGTAATGGCATTAACGTAAAAATCAAAAATTTGTAACCATTGTGTTTGATATTGGTGCGGATGAAGGAAACGGTCGCAGATGAGTTGGCATGAAATTTGTTGCATCAAACGATTTCGAAACGACGAACTGTAAATATTTTTAAATATTTTTAGTCCAGAATTATTCTGTACCAGNTTACCCATTCGATATATGGGTGGCTATAACAGTGAATTTTTTCTCAGCTTTCATAGAATCGTTTGATTTATGTGGTCTTTGAATTCCTATTAGCTGAAATTTTTAATATTGTCGAAGATTATTAAGAATAAATAACAATAATTTTTTTGAGATTTTTAAAATTTCATATAAAATATTTCTTATGATGTTCTAATTTTCCTATCCTTAAATCTACGAAAACTGTGTTGAAGGTTTTCGAATTTATTTCAGGTTCTCAACAAAGGATACACAAATCGTGTTGAATTCGCTTATAAACAATACTTGGGGTGTCGAAGAAAGATACTGTAATGTATTCAAGGAAGGATCCCCATTTACAATACGTATATTGGCTCTTATGCAGTACTATAAGGTTTTTATTATCTCTTTTTACACCTATTCAGCCAAAATTAATTTTATTATTTATTCCTTCGCTTTTTGTAAATTGTGCTACATCCTTGGCAGTTTATTTTTTGCTGTTTTTTAGGGTTTTTAATTTTTAGATTGCTGTTAATGGCCGTCATCTTTGCGATTATTTGCATCGACTGAACCTAAATTCAGTTAATTCAATTTTCATTGGAGGAAATGTTTCCATCGACTATATTCAAATTGAAGGCGACGTATGTTTTTGAGTTATTTTTTTACTTACAGCTTTAAATTGATTAATAATATTCTAGAGGGATTTTTCTTCCAGCTTCATTACCATTAGGCCAGGTGTGCTAGCTATCAAGATGTGGTTTCCAAGCTATTCGTTCTGACGCTTTTACTGGCAGAGAAGCCATTCTTTTTTCCATCTTTTAAGTCCATATATCAATGTTCCTCCTGTATGTTCATTCCTGACTATAACACTCCAAGTCTTAATTGATCCTCCTCGCTTTTGACTCCAACCATCAGAGGGTTCGGCAAGTAGCGAAATGTGTGCCAATTCTTGTGGTAGACGACGAAGAACGTGCCTCAGCTAGGGAAGACGACGCTCTATGATAACATTATTAATACAGGTGGTATTTGAGCAAAGATGGATACAATCATGTGCGATTTTATCCGCTCGACGGACCCGTGAAATGTCTTAGATATGCGTGGTCAAAAGTTGGTAGCTTCTTAATATCTTCCAATCTCATTGGCAATGTTTCGCAGCCATATAGCACGATCGAACAGAAACACTTTCGTTTTATTTTCATTGATTTTGAGTCCAGTTCTCGCTGCAGTTGTTGACTCAGTAGAAGGTTATTGAAAATTTTCTTAGAGATGTCTAGTAGGCTGATTCCTTAATGATTGTTATAGTATGTCCTATCACCTTTTTTGGGAATTGGGAGTAAAATTGCTTTGCTCCAGTCATCTGGTATCATTTTCTTCCATACCAGAGAGTATACTTGTTAAATGTGATATGAAGAGCGATGGACATTTGAAAGATCAGCCCAAAGACATCTTCTGGTAATTTATTGGTCTAAAGCTTCTGGATAACAGATTATTTTTTGTTCTGCTGTTTTGCTGGAGATTCGCAACTGCAAACATTGGTATGCTTTTAAGCCTCAACGAGCGTTTCAGCATATATCTAGGATAGCAATATCTAGGATCTAGAATATCTAGGATGACGCTTTTTGGTTAAGTTTGGCCTTCATAAAGATTTCCTTCCATTTTATGAGGCTATCCTTAATAAATTTAATAGGCATTCCATTACTATCCCGTGTCATTTCACTGACCGTTCACCGAGTTAGGTTTCTTTATGAAGAGGGCGTAGTTTCCTATTATCGTCCAAATCTTCGTCTTCATTTTCAAGGCCAAATCAGTTGCGATTTCTGTCCCATCTCCGTGCTGCTGTCGTTGTAATTCTTCGAAGATTTCGGAACATTCGTACTTTGGCAGCATTTTCGGACAATTGCTTCCGATAACCAATTAATGCACTTCCTAATAGTATATTCCTTGAGTTGGGACCAATATTCATTTGCCGTTCCAGAGAAGTTGTAGTTGTTTATATCATTAAGGCGATAGTTCGGTTTGAAATGTTGTCTCTGAATCTTTTAGTCTGAAATAGCTGAAAGATCTTGGGAGGCGTTGTTTTTGGTGAGTTGTCAATTTTATGCGGTTCTTGGCTCAAATCATAACATGTCCATTAAATCCATGAAGGTTCTCCATTTCAGCGCCCTTATAAGAACTATCTAGACCCATCCAACGGCGACTGATTAAGATATGATCAATCTTTGTAGTGTTGGTTATCCAGTGAGTTCCACCTGACTAGATGTCTTTGGATAGGTGTACCAGAAGCATGTATTAATAATAAATTTCATGATAATAAAAAATTCATGCTCTTCGGCAAAGCGAAAAAAGCTTTCTTCTTTAGCGCACAGGCCCCTGATGCCATATTTGCAAATTATCGAGTTCATAGTGGTGGCATCATGACCTATGCGCGTTTCAGTTCCCCGATTATGACCATGACATGTTTCGATAGGAATGTTATTAGCACTTGAAATCCCGCATAGAGTTTATCATGGTCATCTGCAGATAAAGTTGGAGCATATAAACTGATAACCGAAATATTGCAGAACATTTCTTTGAAGCAAGCATATGATCGTCTATCGGCTTCTAGTCAATCAGATCGGACCGATCTTTTTCAACATGACGATCGCTACGCCATTTCGCCTCGAGTTATCCAAAGCACCACACTGATATAGCCAGTACCTGAGGAGCCAGGTTTAGTAATTTAAAAAAAGGACCAGACGAAGGCGGATTTCAAACAAACATGCGGCATCCGCACGGTATTTAGAAAGTTTATGAACAGTGATCGCTTGGATTGCAACGTCTATAAGGTTCTGGCGTTCCAAATGACTATGGTCAACACTTCGCCGCCCCGTGCAGAGTGCAGGTGGAAGTTTTTCCTTTGTTTCGAGCAGTTGTTCTCGCTTGCATATCATATTCTCAAGTCTTGGTGTTATTATATTGTGTCAGGATTGCGTATTTATCGCATGTACCAACCGTGCTAGGATTATTTAGTTACTGAGGAACAAAGCATGGCATGCTTTGCATTGCATTCATAAGTGCTTTACTGAAGTACTGAAAAAAGAACAGACAATTTTACCTACTTTCGTTATGGAACTGCATGAAGAAATAGTAGAAAAATTTCTTTTCAATCCTTTTTATTGCCGTTAAATGCAAATTTTTTGTTTTTGATGCATAATAGTGAAAATTTTCGGAATTATTAGTTACGCGAACAAATAAAAATTTTTTAGAGGTTTTATTTGAAGAGTTGTTTGTAAGAATATTGGCATTATTTTAATGAATGCATCATTTTGCTGTAAAGCTGGTTTTCTTATAACTCTCACCATTACTAGTTAGACTGGCTCCGCTGGCTACAAGGGTAAGACGTCTCCAAGCTGCTCGGTCCGACGCCATCGCTAGTAGTAATAGAAGCCACTCCTTTTTCCATCGATCAAGTCCATATATGGCTAGTCCCCCTATACGTTCAAAATCTTTTCTGATTGTATCAGTCCAAGTTTTGATTGACCCTCCTCGCTTTTGACGCCAACCATCACAGGGTTCGGCAAGTAGCGAAATGTGCGTCAATTCCTGTGATGGGCGACGAAAAACATGCCTTAACACAGGGAAGACGACGTTCAGTGATAACATTATTAATACAGGTGGTATTTGAAGGAAGGTGGATACAATGTGCGGTTTTATCCGCTCGATCCATAAAATGCATCTTGGATGTGAGTGGTCAAGGGCTAATAGTTTCTTAATATTTTCCTCTTTCATTGGCCCTATTTCGCAGCCATATAGCAAGATCGAGCGAATAGCAGCTATATGGATTTTCGTCTTTATGGTGATTTCGCGACAGTTCCATAAAGGTTTCATCAATTGGAAAAACATTTTTAGCTGTCGTTATCCCGGTTACAATTTCATCCTTTGCCTGGCCGTTTGGGATTAGAGTGAATCCAAGGATTTAAAGTCCAGCACTTCCTCAACCAGTAATGAATTGGTAAATAAATTGGTATCGGTATTTTATCAACATCTTGTATATAAGACGAAAACACTTTCATTTTATTTACATTTATTTTGAGTCCAATTTTCGCTGCAATTGTTGACATATTGTTTAACATTATTTGTATTTTCTTATAACTTAGCAAAAAGGACTACATCATCAGCGTATTTAAAGTCTGATGCTATACTCTGGACTGATTTGCACACCTCTTGGGTGCCGACAAGCCCGTTATCCAGTCTATCGCATAGTTGAATATTGTGGGCGAAAGGACGGAGCCTGATGAACACCAGTTTTTATTTCAATGAAGTCTGTCAGTTCTCCATATATTCAGACCTGCGCTAAGGTATGCTGATAAAATACCTTTATGAGCCGAATAATCTTCTCTGGGACAGCGTTACATTCTATCACTTTCCAGAGCGTTGCTCTATCAATCGAATCGAAGGTAGTTGCAAAATCGATAAAGCTAGTGATATTGCTGGTTACTGGTATTTGAAGTGATATTCCAGCACCTTTATTAGCGTAAATATCTGATCAGCCGCGTCACTATCCGAATCCAGCTTGGTTAGGACACATTTTGCTATCTCGTGTTGTCATGAATCTATTTAGCAGAAGGGAAGCGAAAATTTTTCCGGTGATATCCAGTAGGCTGATTCGGCAATTGTCCTATCACTTTCTGAGAAAATGGAAGCAGAGTTGCTTTGCTCCAGTCTTCTGGTATTATTTCTTTTTGCCATACCAGCAAATACATTCGTTGAAGGTGCATTATGAAGGACGATGGACAAAATTTGAAAAGCCCTGAAGACCATCTTTTCTGGAGTTTTATTTGAGCCTTAAGCTTATGGATTACAGAGATTATTTCCTCTTCCGTTGGCAGTTCGCAGTTGCAATCGTATGGCTCGGGGAGCGAATCAGGTATATCCAGGATAGCAAATCGTGATTAAGTTTGGCCTCATAAAATTTTTTCCATGTATTATTTCATTGACCCCTTCATGAGTTATAATTGCTTTGTGAAGAAAGCGAAATAGTTTCCTATTATCACCAACTGAGCCGCCGTCTCCATTCTCAAGGCTCCAATTGCAATTTCTATCCAGCCATGCTACTATCGTTGTAATTCTTCGAAGCACCTGATAGTTAGGATCTCAGGCTTTCAGGATTTGGCAGTTTTTTCAGGCAGTTGGTTGCTTTCGATACCTGTTATAACTTCCTATTAGTATACTCTAGTGTGGAAGTGGCTTTCGCAGGTATATCTTTAGTTGGGACGAGTATTCATTGCCCTTTCCAGAGATGTCATTGAGGTTCATTTCACTGAGCTATTTCAATGCAGTTTGAAATGCTTTTATCGTTCCCGGATCTTTTAATTTGATATGGTTGAAAGATCTTGGGATACGCTGTTTCTTACGACTTTTCAATTTATACGAATCTTGGACCATAGCATAATATGATCCATGGCGGTTACCAGTTTCAGCGCCCCGATAAGAACGACTATCTAGTACAGAACTCTTACAGCGATGACTGACTAATATATAATCAATCTGATTGAAATATTGGTTATCCGTAGAGTTGCAGAGAGTGTCTAGATGCTTTTTCCGATGCCAAAAGCATATATTAGTAACAAAGAGTCCATGCCGTTTGGCAAAACGAAGACGTTCTCAATTTGCGCACTGGACCCTGATGCCACATATACCAATTACCGAATTCATCGAAACGGCATGATGACCTACGTGCCCATTCCAGTCTCCCTCGAATATGTTAATGTCATCTATCGGTAGAGATGTTTACAGTTGAAGTTCCGCATAAAACTCATCCTTATCGCAGTCATCTGCACACAAAGTTGGAACATATACACTGATAACCGAGATATTGTATAACTTACCCTTAAAATGCATAAGCCATACGGTTATTTGCTGACTTCCATTCAATCAGAGCGAATCGAGCCTTTTCAGACATGACAATCGCTACGCCATTTCGCCCCGAGATACTATTGTGATATAGCGAATATCTTTCCTCGGAACTAGGTTTAATAATTGCTAGAGAACCGATATGAGGAAGATCTCCAACAAACAGGCTACATCCACGCGGCTATTTAGAGGTGTGTAAAGCTGGTATTAGAGGACTTATACACGTTGTTTCTTAATGAGTGCTTTTTTATCCTTTAATATTTTTTCTCTTTTTTTAGTCTTTTTTTAAATTTTAGAATAAATGTTAGATTTTTTAAGATAGATTTTTTAAATTTTTAAAGTTTTTTGATTTCTTAGGCTCCAGAACTTTTGAAATAATATTAGTGTTATTTTGACATAATTTAGGATTTCCTGATCTAAGATCAATTTTTGTTTCAGTTTTTTTCTCGATCTTCGCATTTTCTAAATTTTCACATTTCTTTTGGGTTTAATAAAGATGTTGAAGTTGAAAAAGATTAGAAATAGAAAGGATTTTTATTACGAAAACTTGTGCCCTTTTTTTCATTTTCTTTCTTTCTCAGTCTAATATTTTTATTTCAAGTTGATCGCAATTTGTGGTATTTGATGGTGATATAAGATTTTACGTCTTTTATATTCTACTGCTCCACTATTTGAAATATTTGATTTTTTTCTCCATAGGTGTGGTTGTAATTGTGTAATTGTTTGCAGGTTGGTGGACCGATTGTTGGCTGATTTGCAAGATAAACGAATTTATGATTTGCCTTTACTTATTTTACACATTCATTTCACTGAAACATTCATGTGGGCTACTTGATAATGAGTTTCCTTTGTGTAGTGAATGGATTTGTTCTGATATTTCTAAGTATATGGTCTTTTGCATTTATTAGGTTTTTTTCTAGTGCTAATTTTCCATATTCATGTTACTGGAATGTTTCAACTTAATATGCTCAAAAAATAGGTAGTTTTATCTTAACAGAGTTGATTCATTATTAACTTCGTCATTAGCAATTTTTTTTATTTTCTGTTTCAATTCAATTTTTTTGTTTAGCGTTGTTAAATATTTTTTTCACACCTCCAGAAGGACTTCAATTCAGGCAAAAGTTATTTTAAAATATAGTGCATTCTTTCTGGAAAGGCTCAGTTAAGTGTTAAGTGTAGCATATTTATTTATAACATTTATAACATTGTCCCACTGAATTTTTTTCTGGTTGCAACATATTATTATGGACTTTATATCAGTTTAATGGTTAACCTCATCATTTTTGTTATATTTCTTTTTTTTTTACTTGAATCTTGGTTATCATTGTGAATAATTGCATGAGCTTGGTGGCGTTCAAAATTTTTTTCAGTTTTATACTTTACAATTTTGGTATATTATTAAAATGCATTAAAATAGTTTTTTGTTTCAGCCGTCAAAATTATTTTTGCTAGCAATAGAAAAACAATATAAGGTGCCAGAAGGAATGAAGGAGTTCTGTTTTTATTCTCTAATTTTTTATTGTCAAATTGTATATATATATATATATATATATATATATATAACATTAAATGGAGTTAAAATTGTCGTGTATCGTTATAGTATGAAGATCGACTTAATTAACTGTGGTTGTTGATAGGATTATGATTTTCTTTATTGTCAATTAATAAGCTTATGAATAGAGAGAGGATTGGAGAGGAGTGTTGTTACGAGAAATTATCAACTTATTCAGTGGAAAAGCCATACAAAGGCGAACTTCTCGAATTGGCGTGTTTGGAAAGTTGAACAAATAGTTAAATATCATTCTTTTCAGTTTATTTGGTTTTCCTTTAGGATATAATTAGATGGTAAGATTTTGTGATAAGCGATTTGTTTAGTCATTGGAAGTAAAATTTTTTTGATCATAATATTTTTATTCCTGGTTTAAGTCTTATCCGCTTAAATCCATTGCTTACTTTTCACAGAAATCAGTAGATGTTGGTGCGCGTCAAAAGGATGCTGAAAGTTTGGAACCGATTCGAAAACCGGTATATTCTTGACTCTTTAAAATGATTTTTTCAATTATATCATTTAATTCATTCAGCTATAATCATAATCTTGGAATCCTTGCTTGTTTTATCAGCCTTCACGAAATGAATTTTACAGCATCTTCCGTTCGAATTATCCATCAAAAATGGTTTAACTGTAAATTCTTGGCTTATAATGACCGCAACACCATTTACAAATGCTCATGCGTTCTATATAAATTTTCTTTATGGTAGCGAATACTTTTTCCATTTCAGAGTCGATTTTCCGAGAGGAAAACAGGTGATATGTTACTTATCAGAATTATTTTAAAAACGAATTTTTTTCTTTGTGCTTTAAAAATAAAAGTTAATTTAGCAAGGAGCCGTCGTCCGAAATACAACTATGAACAATCTGTGGCAAAAGGAAGAAAGAGAAATATCAGAATTCCCTTTTATTGCAGGAATAACATTTGACATGAATTTCAGATTTGAATCGCACAAAGTTATGGTTAGAGGGAATCTTTTTTTCTTACTTTTTTTTTTATTACTAAGTTCCGCATTTATTCACCTCTTATTATTTTCGATTTTTATATTATATGATGGTAATGATCCACTAAGCTGAAAGAGATAGATTAACTATTCTAACTTTCATTCATCATAATTGTCATGCATCAGCAGACTGTATTTATGACCGTTATACTCAGTGAAAATTTTGCAGGTTTTTGTTAATGGAGACTATTTCACGAAATTTGAATACCGTGGGAATGTATCACTGGATGACGTTAATCGAATGACAATAATGGGTGATTTAATGGTACAAAAACTTCACTTAAAAATATCTAAAGAGGACCAAACGAAAGTGGTTGTTTAATTGTTTTCGATACTTTTCTTTTTATTTATTATCTTGTCCTTAGGATTTATTCTGTCTATTTAATAGGTTTTCTTGTTTTGGCAATTTATATTTTTTTAATTTTGAGGTAGTTAATTTTAATTAATTTTCATTTATTTATATCAGATGGAAATATCCTTTCGTTTTCGAAAAATTTGTTTTAATTATTTCAAATATTTTTTAGGTTTTAATTTATGAACCACAAATGAACTGTTCATTATATTACATTTCCATTTTATATATTACGGTTATTTGTTATATAGCCAGATAATGCCAAAGGGAGACTCTATTGTTTCTTCTGTTTCTCTAATAAATGGGTGTTATTCGTGTGAGGAACTCAAGCAGTAGGATTTTGATAAGGTTTTTTCTTAGGCTTATATATAGGGTTTTTCTTTGGAGGCAGAATAGCCAAACGGTTGAATTATTATCATTGTCTCGGGCATCAAAGTTCGGACATTGTCGCCGACAGCAATAAACCTGTTATTAAAAAATCAGTGCCCGGGAACCATGTGCACTTCTATTCTTTCACCATGCTAATAACTAGGTGGGAGAATGGTGAATATTAATCATTTTTTTTACCTATATTATTTTCTACTGCTTTTTTTAAATGAACTTTCTCATGATATTCCAGCACTTATTTTAAATGTTTAATTACATATTTAATTCGATACCCCTCCTTTATTTGTTCTTGTAAGGATTTATTCGAGTACAGTGCCAGCACATTGCTTTAAAATCCCAAATAAAAAAATTTTCCGATTCAACGATACTCATTAAAAAAAGGTATGGAGATGGGCCAAAAATATCAAAGCTTTTATTGTTATCGGTTGATATTATTGTTTCATATTATTATTGTTTATTTTATATCAATATTGCGTTTTTAGATGCTTGATGTGTAGTAAAAATTATCATACATAAGTATTGTTCGATTTTATTGCTTCATCAATACATATTTTTCTGAACGTTATTTTTAAATTTTAAATGGGATTCGTGCAGTAAATATTTTAACGGTACTTTTCGGTAACAAGAATAGCAAAGATCATATTCATTCACTAATTATCCGTAAAGCCTTGGTAAAGACAGAAATATGAAGATTATTCATATATGCTTGAGGATTATATGAAGATTATTCATATATGCTATATAAAAAATATATATTGTTGGTAAGAAAATTATTTGCTAGGAAGTCAGTTTTATATTGATTTGACTGAGATCAAGCGTCGCAAATTTGGTTCCTCTCAACGGAAAGGAGTAAAATTGCCATTAAGGTGAAATCGAAGAGGTCCATCAGTATTTATCTCTACGAGTGAATATCATCCAACTAACTAGTGGGAAATTCGAAACAGAGATAATAAGAAGACATAGAACGTTGGTGAGGAAATACAATCGACAACGAGATAGAATATGGAAAAAGGCATTTAACTAGGTTGTTGGTTTTTTTTCTAGGAGTGCTCGTTATTGCTGGTTAGGCTCGCTTCCCTCGCTTATCTAACCAGACGAATCACTTTCGCTAGCACCTTCTGGATTTTTAAGGACAGGTTCGTCCCCACCGAGCGTAAAACCTCAGTATCTGCTCTTTTGAGCAAAAATCCACTGAGTTTGTTCTACTTTTCACCGTTCGATGAGGTTACCGCCCGACGAAGCATTGTGTGTAAGCTGCATTCGAATCAGAGTGATTCTTGGTTCTTGGTGGTATTCATTTTGCCACAAAATCACGACATCACGATGCACCGAATCGTTCACCAATTTCGTGTCAGATTGAGTGAAAAAATTTATCGAATTCGACGACTTTCTTTATCTCTCGTTTTATTTATTTATTTTTTTTCATTATTTTATTTATCTTTTGATTTCAACAGTCAAGGTTTTTATTTTCTTTGAGGGATAGACGAGCGGATTAATAATGGCTGAGACTGTCATGGGTTCGGTTTCTAATTCTGGCATTAGTAAATTTTGAAAAAGGAAAAATCCTTGTAGCTTTGGCGACCCATCTATAGTTCAGCCGCCAAGTAAGTCTGCTGGTAAAAACCTCTTATCGTACTAACAGCCAGCGGACTTACCTCGACTAAAGATGATGAGTTTTAATTGCTGCAGGTCATGAAAAAACTACCCTAGGTTATTCATTTACTCTTTATCAATAAATTACCTTTTAGCATTACGCACGATTTTTTTCACTGCTTAATTTCGTTCAATTTTTAACTTCTTTTCGACACAACGAGAATATAGATTTTTGAACGTGAACAACCTGTGAACAAATAACCGCTCTCTTTCAACTTCTCCTCTAAGCAGTAACGAAAAGATGAGTCTCGCTAGAATTACGGCCCAAAGTATCGGCCATGGCCTCACTTCAGTTTAAACATTTATTTGGCAAAATTGATGGCTTGTTCTTTTCTTCTTTGTTCCCTCTTCTGTGTAACGATGTTTCATCTTCCTCTATTGTTCGGTTGGTTTAGTTTATAGTTTATAGCTTTTCGTTATTTATTATGATGGTGATGGGGGGTGAAGTTGAGAGTGGCCTTTGTTAGAGAATCAGCTACTAAATTTAACGAAGTTTAGCCCAGATTATAGGTTATCAAGAGAGTTATTCAAGAAAATTTAAAAAGGCAATAAATAATGACGATTGACGAAAAAAATGACAAAAAAAATTATAGACGATAAAAACTTATTGTTATTATTATAATCGTAATTGCTATAATCATTATTGTAATTGACATTTGTTAATAATTATTATTTCGTAATAATGAATTTTTTTTAAAAAAAAGGAAAGATTTAGTAAATGCAATTATTCAGGCCGTCGATATGGCGCATCTCGTTGAGAATGGGGTTATCAATGATGGTAGTTGGCAGTTATCAATTTTGGTCACTGATATGAATATTCAACGAAATCTTTATGTAACTGGTGGTTTGCATATTGGTGGCCTTATGTTAAGACTTGTCGATGAGATCGGTTCGTTTTTTTTCTTGAATATTTTTCATTTACTGTAATTGTAAAAAAACTTTTACGCAAAAAAAAAGTTTGAAGTTTTTAACCAATTAAATAAGTTTAATAGCTTTTAAACTAGTTGATTTTAAATTTTTTGTTTATTTTTTATAAAAATAGCTATTTATAAGAAAAATTTTCAAGTGTAAATTATGAACCAGGTCTGTTATACGTGAAATGAATTTTTTATTCTTTACTCAGCGATATAAATATTATTTATTATTTATTATTAGGAATAAGTGGAAATTTTCATAAAATTTTTACTTTCTTATCGTTTTTATTTCAGTAGCAGCTGTTGTCTATAACTGAAAATGTTAATGAGCCACCCACTTATTCGAAATATTACAACAATGTTTTCCACTTTTCATATTTTCTAAATAATTCTTTTTTTTAGAATACTGTAGTATTTTTTTAAAAATGTTTTTGATTTTTATTTCTTCATTAGCTGAAATTTGTGAGATCTGTTTAGACGTTACTCGTGATTGGAGTGATCATGCATTATGGTGGCCAGAAAAACGAAAATGGCTAACGCATACTCGGAGTACCTTGGATCAAATTGGTGTAACAGCTGATTGTTGCCTTGAATTTACACCGCAACACAAACCTGCTAGGTAAGATCGAAATTTTAAAATTAATAATTAAAGTAAATTTTAATAAATTTTATGTTTATTTCCCTCTTTTATCGAAAATTTATTTTTTTTAATCTTCGTAGTCTTTATTATATAATTATATTTCAACTTAGCCGAGAAAGATAGAAAGCATTCGAAAGATTTTTGATCGCTTATTTCACTGTGGGCGGTCCAAATATTCATGAAATCTAGCTGCAGATTTATGCATCTTTTCAGAGTTCAGTTGCCGGATTTGCAAATGGTTGATGCACGTCTTGACTTTTCGGTAAATATTGTCAAGGCAACTCAGCAGTTATGCCGAGAAATTGGTCAGTTTTGTGTTTATGAATTGTCTGAGCCGGAAGGAAATTGAAAAAGATCTGGTTGAAAAGATCAATGCATGAAATTGTTGAAAGTAAAATGAATAATAACTAAAACATAAATAGAAGCATTTGATTATTGGTTTCCATTGGGTGATATTTTGCAAAGAAAAAAGAATTAGAAATGGTGATATAAGCATATCTGTACCTTTTACTATATTTGCCAATGCACTGGAAATTTTCATCCTCATATGTTTTAAATTTAATTTTCAACAAAAATTTGCAGGTATTCGCTATTCTGAGGAGCTTTCACTAAAGCGTTTTATCCCTCCAGAACTTCTTCGTAAAGGTCTTGGGTTCGAAGCAGATCAAGCTGGACCTCAACCGATAAGGCCTGGCGAGGTATTTATTTGTTAATTTTTTGAAAAGTTTTGATTGAATTTCTTAAGGAATCTATTGGTCCTGGTACACTTCGAAAGCAGGCTCCAATCAGCGCATCTGCTTCAAACCTTTCTGGGACGCGTCGTGGCACTAGTCCTGCAATATCACAGAGTGGTCAAATGTTCAATGCAAGTGAACTAGGAACTTTACCGCGTTCTGGAACTTTACCGAGAGGTGTTAGTCCCGGCCCCGCAGCGGTAGGTTTATTATTTAAATAATATTTCTATTTATTTTCGTGTTAACGGAAGGTAGCGCATTTTTCTGAAAGTAAGATGCTTCAAATTCAAATTTTATACCAACGCGAGCTGGAAAGTAAGTGTTGAATTGAGGGTTTATTTTAATAGAAAATTAAAATTAAATTGCTAATTAATGCAAGTATTTGGCTCATTTTTTTCACGTTAGGTGTAGAGTTATATTTTTCAAATTTGATATCATCAAATTCTTTAAGATTTCTTTTGCCGCATAGTTTTTAAATTGAAATTTAAGCAAGTTTCAGTATAGTGGAACTATTGGACGTAGTCCAATTATGCCATCAGTTTCTTTTTGTGAAGGGCTTGAAAACGAACAATATGATATGGCATTGGTGCATTCGCCTCGAATTGTTCCAAACAAGGAAATGACTGTATTTCGTCCACAAAATTTCGTTGAAAAAGCAGCTCTCAATCGTGGTTGGCTGGACTCTTCGAGGTAAATTTTTGTTACGTATTTGATCCATATCAAATTATTAGATGTTGAAGTTTGATATCTTCAACATTTTTTTGAAAAATAACTGTTCAAATTTGTCTAAGGTTTTCCAGGTTGATTCTTAATTGCTGAAATCGATGGTGAAATATGTGAATCGCATTATCAACATTTTTATATACATTCATTTTCCTTTATCAAAAAAAATTTCAGATCGCTTATGGAACAAGGAGTTTTCGAGGGTGATGTTGTTCTTCTTAGGTTCAAATTCATGTCATTTTTTGATATAAACCCCAAGGTTAGATATTTCTTTAGTTTCTTTAGTTTTCTCATTTAATATTTTTTGTCCAATCATACACGGATCTACGAATAATTAACAAATGATGTTGAATAAATAACGATTAATAATGAATAATGTCCCTAGTTTTCCAAATAATTTTAGGAATTTTAAATATCCAATACATATTTTAAATATCCAATTTTAGTATGATCCTATTCGTATTAATCAGCTTTATGAACAAGCGAAATGGTCGATACTTTTAGAGGAAATCGATCACACTGAAGAGGAAGCCATGCTTTTTGCAGCACTTCAAGTAAATCTCTTATTTTTCATTAATTCTTTCTTCATTAAAATATGGTTTGATTTATAAGGCTGTCTGTGAATATTTTTCATGTTTTTTTTATTTTTAGCTTCAAGCTACGTTGCAACGCAGTACTCCGGAACCAGATGTTTCTGAGAAAGATGATGTTGAAATACTACTGAATGAGCTTGTAAATATTCTGTCTTTATGTTTTTCGTTTTTTATTGGTCTTAAGCAGTTGAAGCTAAAAATAATCTTAATTAACTCATTTAAAACACATTCTCATTCTCAGGAACAGAATTTGGACGCAGCAGCTTTGAGTCGAAGATCAGACTTAATGCAGGTTCCAGAATTGGCTGATTATCTCAAATATATGAAGTATGAAATAAATATAACATAAAAACCAATTTGCTTTATTTTTTATTTGGTTTTTTTAATCCGTTCTTTAAAACTTTGCACATTCAAAAATATGCAGAGGATACAAAAATACATTAAAGCAAACTATTGGCCGATAACCAAGATTTTCACCAAATTTTCACTCAGTTTATTTGTTTAGGCCTAAGAAGCTAGCTGCATTTAAAGGTTTCAAACGAGCATATTTCTCTTTCCGTGATTTGTATCTAAGCTGGCATGCCAATTCAAATGACCTAAGTGGTCCTCCATTGGGTCATATTTATCTAAAGGGTAAATTATTTGGTATTTTCAACTTTAACTTTAATTTTTTTAACTTTTGATTTTAACTTTTACTTTAACTTAACTTTACTTTAACTTTAACTTTTTTAAATTTTAATTTAACTTTTTTTGGATCATTGCGTAAATATACTTGAATTCTTCATATTGTCCATTGCCCTTACGCTTATTATGATCGTTATTTGTGTTGTTTCCTGAATTAAAAATTAAGTGTTCAGATTTTAATTATAACTTTTTCTCAAGGTTGCGAAGTCACTCCAGATATAACAGTTTCTAGTGGGAAATTCCATATCAAGCTTTCAATTCCCACAGCTGAAGGAATGAATGAGATGGTCCTCAAATGTGATACAGTAAAATTTTTTTATTGATTCATTTGGATTCAAGCCAAAAGGTTCGAATTTCTGTCTTTATGAGGAAAGAAAACTTAGCGATGGTAATTGAGGAGCATCAATATTCACGCTGGATGGCTGCATGTCGTCTTGCCTCACGTGGCAAAACAATGGCCGATGCATCTTACCAGTCCGAAGTTGATTCTATCAAGAAGCTTCTTCAGATGCAATCTGGTGATTTATAGTTTCCTTTTTCGTATTTTCTTTTCTATTAAAATTTAAATCGAAAAAATGCTTTGCATTAATTGATTCGTCAAAATATTTTTCTTTTATCCTCGAACTTCGTTAGTAATATTCGATTCGATGCCTAGAATATTTAGCTGGAATTGGGCAAAATGGAACTAATAAAAGAAAATGTCCAGCTGTTCAGTTGCCACCCGATTTCAATGTTGAAGAGTTTGTCTCTCAGCGATACGTTCGCCGTGCAAGATCTAAGCAAGCGGTTAGTTAGTATTCAGTATTTTCGCTGTATACAGTCAACAAAAAATTTAAGTGATCTATGTAAGCAATGATAATTTTTAGGTTCTTTCATAGATATGTTCAGTTTTATGGCCCAATATTTTTCAACTTCCTGGAAAAGAAAGCGTCTGTTTTTTTTTCGCAGGCATTTTTCTCGTTTTAGCTTCAGCAACGCATATCTGATGCCCATGGAAATGTTCGGAATTTATCAAGTACGGAGGCAAAATTGCAATATATTCGCACCTGGGAGGCGCTTCCTGAACATGGAATGCACTACTTTGTCGTCCGTTTCAGGTCTTATGTAAATTTCTTTTATTTATTGTAAATAAGGATAGATCCGTAATTCTAATTAATTCTCAAATTCTTCTTTATATTCAATCATTTAATCACTTATTCGGTATTTGCATTTATTTACATTTGTATTTATCATATGTTAAAATTCTTTCAGAAATAGTCGCAAAGTAGATTTGATTGGAATTGCTTTCAATCGCTTGATGCGATTGAATATAGAAAATGGTGAAAGCTTAAAAACATGGCGTTTTTCAACAATGAAAAAGTGGCATGTAAATTGGGAAATTCGTCATTTAAAGGTGTCTGATAACTTTTTCGTTGCAAATTTTATTTTCATTTTATTATTTATTTAATTTATTTTATTTTAAGTCTTATTAAGCGAAATTGATTGTACTTGGTTAGCGCTTACTATTTCTCCTTATATTAGTTCCATTGACCCGTTAGTTAGAAGTAAACTAGAGAGTGAAATGGGATAAAAGGACATCACAATGCAGATTTTTAGATGGCAGGTTTACTCCTATCAGTAAGGAATCGGGCTTGTGATGCGCGCAGCCAATCGAAAGAACTGTACGACTTCATCATCCCTGCCTTATATAGTTATTATTTCCCTTTCATATATTTTGGAAGTTTTTTATTTCAGATTCAGTTCGAGAACGAAGATGTAGAATTTAAACCAATTTCAGCTGACTGCAAGGTTATTTTATAACTTAATCTTCTTTATTTCAATTAGCTATCAGTAAAAGCCTAAATTCAATTTTTTGTTGAATCCTTTTGACCTTTTAAAAAGTTGTTTTGTTTTTCCTAATGCACTATTACTTCATTTTTCTGCTTTAAAAAAATTGTTTCAAGGTTGTTCATGAATTTATCGGTGGTTATATTTTCCTTTCACTAAGAAATAAAGAACAGAGCCAGTCGCTAAATGAAGAATTGTTCCACAAACTAACAGGTGGATGGGCCTAATTGATCTTTTTAACGCTGAAGAGGTTTGATTTCAATGATGACATTAAATTGATATTATACGCAGACTTATGGTGCGACATTTATGGCTTGCAAAGTAATATATTTATGATAAAAGGAGGGAAACTAATTCGGGATAAAGGTATATGAAGGTTTATGAATATGAACTTGCACGAAAAGTTGGGTTTATTAAAAAATGTTTAAATTCATGAATTTTTAAAAGCTTAATCTTTGATCACTTCTAATCTGACCTGCTTTATTAACCAGTAGAGTTCATTAAGGTGAGACCCTTTCGCATGAGAGTTAAGTAGTTATAGAAATTTAGGCGGATCTCCATCACTAGTGGATTTCATTTTTAATGACAAGATTGAGGAATAGAGTCAAATCCATGGTGCTAGATTGCGATTATATGTTATTCGAGAGGTTTGATTAGTTTAGGATGATCTGATATTGAAAACAACTTATCAGAAGTGTAGGCCTATAAATGCATTGGTTCAAGAAATGGAAAAAAGTCATTATGTCGCGTTTTCAATTTTCATTTATTTGCTGAAGTCTTTCAGTAATGAGACCTTTAAATTTTCAAAAAATAAAAATTTTTCATAGGTTTAAAAATCTTCTATTCTGTTTTTTTTAAAAATCATATTTGATCTTTCGTTTTGATCCGAATTTTATAAATTTGTGAAGCTTCGTAAAAAATCGAATTTTGTAGGGAAAGATGCGAGTTTATTTCTTTATCTTATAATTTTACCTTACAAAATTATCTAATTGCGTTTTAAATTTATTAGTTGAAAAGAATACATTTTCGTTACTTTTTTCCTGTTTTAAAAAAAAATTCACTACAGCAATAACGTCAGCTGTAATAAACCATTTTTTTGCATATTTTGCATTTCCTTCTAAGGATATTTTTTATGAAGTTTTTGTATTTGTAAGTAGCTAAAATAATTTCTTTCAAGTGAGTGATTAATAAAATATGTGAATGCTAGAGGAAAATTTCTTATTTAATAAACATTGTATATTTGGTTTGCAGTAATTATTTTCATGGAATTATTTCATTATGCATTATTTTTTACATTTTTTTAAAAATCATTTCTACGTGCCTTGACTAGAAAATTATTTCTCAGGGCAGTTGCTGCATTTTATTTATGTTTGAACTGGTTTTAGATAATGAATAAATAATTATAGCTGCAAAAAACTGGATTACATACCAACAATACAATCTGTATAAAGTATACTATTGATAGAAAAGTAGCAAGAAAAAATTTTCATAATACGGATAGAAAAAGCGAAAAAAAGTAGAATCGTATTAATATAGGAAATTATATGGAAACTTCGAGGTTCTGAATTTATGCTTAGGTTTATCCTAAGAAGCAAGCGAACAACAACAGTGATTTGACTATTAAAGCTCAAAAGCATGCACTCTACAGGTAATTTTTTGTGATATAGATAATTGATTATTATTTACATCTACCAGCTGTAATTGTTGAGCACATACAAACAAATATCTTTTTCAGATACTTTGATTTAAGTGTATGGATAAAGGTGGTGCATTGGTGGCTCAATGGCAAGGTGAATCTCCGAGAATTGAGGTGTGCGTTCGAGTGCATTGATGTATTCGTGTGGCTTAATTGTTACTTAATGGAGAAAAAAAGAGCGGTATGGCTGTGAGTCGTGCTCAATTCGTATGCTGAGGTTCTACTCCAGGCACGAAAAGCTGTCGAGAAAAATCCGGATGGTGCTGGTGATTCACATGCAACGTACTTTCCGGCATATATAATGAGGCGAGCCAGAGGAGCGAGTCTAAGCTGGTGAATGATGTTGAAAAAAACATTGCTAATGTTGTTCCAATAAATAAATTTAGCACGAAGTTGAAGGAAACAAGTTCCCCTCGACATTTGCACGCCTAGTTATATCAAATACTCGGAAGCAATGTTAAGCCACGTTCAGAATTGAGTGTTGAATGTTATGTTGAGAAGTGTGCTGTTATCCGCTGTTTTGCCATCGACACGACTTTTTAAATTTTCTATTTCTACAGTTTTCAGAATTAGCGGGAAACAAATTGTTTGCAGTGTTGTGTGTTGTCGATAATTTAATTTCGAAAGGGTGGAAAGGAGTACGGTGAGGCCGTGAAGGGGTGCAACTGAAGGAAGGAGGTGGGGGGGGGGGGGGGGGGGGGGGGGGAACGCAGCTGCTGACCTCTCACTCTGGGCCGATGGAAGAAATTTTGTTGCCTTAGGCGATCATCGCTCTTGTCATCCTTCCACTTATCTATAATCAGGAAATTAGTAAAAACGAAATTAATAAAATGGAACGCTTTGAAATTTGGAAAAAAATTCAAAGGTGGCATTGTGGAATCGATAAGGTGAGCCCCCCGAAGAAAAGGTGGACTTCTAATCGTTTAGGCTAGAAGATGGGCGTTTAGGGATGTCCTGGGGCCTACATCGACTCTAACGAGCTCTGCAATATTCATATTCGAAGGGAACAAATCATTTTGATTATTTCATGCTATTTATTATATTCATAAATTGTTTAGGTGGGAAAAATAAATATTCAAAAATTTAGAAATGTTGCACTGGGGATGGATGGGTTTTTATATTGTCATCTATGAGTTTCTTTGAAAAAAGTTTGACGGTCACTGGTCTAGGTTTTGATTCCTGTTTTTGCTCCCATTTTACCCTTTACTCTGAATTTCAAGATTAAATTGTCTTTCAATTGTGTCATTAAAGAATCATTGAGAATGTTTTTAATAAAATGATAAAGTGCAGTTTTTTTTTCGGTGCAGAAAATTGCATGATTGAAGGAAAATTTTGTAGTCCTCGCTTTCTGCACACAAATGGGATCGTTCAGCTGTGCTTGGATAAGTCAGGAAATTATGACGAAGCTGTTAGTTGCCTCAGATATTAGCTTATATTCACTTTCTTTTTTAATAATTTAAACGAATAAAAATTAAGGTTTAATTTTTTTTCTGATGCTTTTTATTTGATAGTTTTATATGTTCAAATTATCTATTTGCATTTGTATTCCATTTGCGTCAAATTTAGTCATTCATATCTTTCGGTGTAGATGGTGATGTATGGCTTTGGAACCACGATGAATTGGAAGATGCTGAATATAGACCTTGGCGAGTTGGTGAGACTACTTGTGGAGCAGTTGCGTGGCATGTAAAATTTTGTGCTTTATTGTCATTTTTATAGAGAAGAATTTTTATATTTTTTCCCTAACTTGTACTTTTGTTATATCCCATTAGTAATAATAAACATAGTTGTTGTGCCGAAAAAAGTTTAGCGGCAAAGTAGAATTGTTAGAATGATATAAATCTGTACGCGAAAAGAAACTGTAATACGAGTTTTTCCGGGATCGTGGTAGCTTTTCTTTCGACCCAAACAAAATTTATTTGGGCCTTAAACATGATTTATTAAACTTTCATTACAATTACACTTACGATTTAGTAATAGTAATGAAAAATAATTAAAAATAGAGGAAAAAAGGGTGGTTTCTAGCGAGGGAGGAAATGTACCAAGAAAAAGGTGGATTAAATTCGCTAGCGAAGATCAGTACAAAAAATTACGGATAAAATATAAATGAGCCATTGATTTTAGGTCATAAACAAATTTTATATAATATCCTCATTCCTCCATTCAACATATTCTCGCAGGAAAAATGCGGTGTTGTGTGTTTGCGCCGCAGCTTTTTCAGCAAAATTTTTTTCCCCAAATGGCGACAGGTGCTTTTAAGGGATATTAATCACTTAAATATTGTATCTTATGTTATTATTGTTTTTATTTTAATGAGTTAGCGTACATGCCCCTAGAACTTCCCATTTCTCTGTTGTTCCCTGCCAAACTCCATCGTATTCTTTTGGTGAAACCCAATAGTAGCGTCTCCTTTAATTTATTTCCACTATTAACATTATCACCTGAAATATAACCTAAGGTTCCTTTTGCTCTTTTGTTACGATCTACTAATACTCATTTAAAAACCACATTTTGCGAAAACTTTCCCAAATCTCGTTAAATGAGCTCATCTTTGTTGTTTTGCCATATTTGCCAATTTAATTCTTCAAACCCAGTTGTAACTCCAAAAAATCGTTCACGCCAAATTTGTTTCAGTAGCTCAATATCAGATATCATAGTGCACTTGCAGCCGCAGTTCTAAAGAATAACATATATTACAATTCTGAGAGAAGGGTTGCTGAGAGAGTATAGGAAGGTTTGAGGAAATGTCATAGGGTATACCATGGTGCGAAGATTGTTCTACCTTTAGATGTATTTGTTTTACACCTCCACACCACGCCAGTGGCCTATAACATATGTAGCCTAATATATTTTTTTATTTTTCTGGCAACGCTATTTCCTGTTAACGTGGTCACAGTGGCTATTTGAATAAATCTTCATCATAGAGGCTTACGAAGGTGAAAGCTTTTTACAAGTGGATTTCTAGTAATTCATAGATTTTACTTTTGATGACAAATTTAGTCGAGTCAGAAATCAAACTCGTGATACTTGTCCTCATTCTAAGCATTATCAATATTTGTGCTTATGCGTATGCTTAAATTCTTATCATTTGTCGTCATGTAAATATTCATCGTTTCAGGGTGATAATGTTTTTATCGGTCGAGTTGTTTGTGATGAAAGAACTAATATAAAGAAGCATGTTGTTTCTAAGTTCTTAATCAGCGATCAATTTTCAACTGGTAAAAATGTCACTGCGTTTGCTCTGGAAGTACTTTCTTTGGATATTTCGTCATCCGGAAGACTGCTCGCTGCTGGGTCTTGGTAATAATTATTGTTTTAACTGCTTAATAATCAGATTAGAGGAAAAATGATTTTGTAGAAAATAGTAATAGGCTGAATAGTATATATAAAAATTTAGTATATATAAAAATTTATATGCACAAATATGACAGCCTGGAATTTATGGAATAATACTATAACATACCTTATGAGAGGGGAACTATAAAGCTTGTTAAAGAACTGTGGATAAACAAAAAGTCTACATTCATACTAACTGAAACAGCTAGTCACCCAGCGTTCAACATAATAAAAACGATGCTGCTCATATTTATGCAACCAACAAGCAGGAAAGGTGGAATTTCCATTCTATCATTCCCATTGTAGAATTGAGCATGAGGCAAAAAATCGTAAACTGTTGCAATATGTAGGAGAAAAAGACTTATGTTACCAATGCGAAGTGGCTGCAAGACTTGACAGTAAGACAGACAACAATCTTGCCGGTTATCTCATATAACAGATGGGCTAAAAAAGTGATGCTGGATAACATCTGGCCGAGTCACAATCCACACCTACCGGCCAAAGAAACTAACAGTGGTTCATGAAAGATTAGTAACGTATATGAACCAGCTTCTCGAGGCAGATCTTCACTCTGATTGGTTAATATATCAAAGGACAAACTAATCATGAATGATCATGAGTGAGCAGCATCGCCAAACTGCCCGCCAATAATCTGTCTCCCCATAAGATGGAAAGTCTTAACAGGGATCATAGCCATCAGGCTACAAACCATATGAGCATAGTTCAGATAGATCGGGAGCAGCACCAGTGGCTTAAAAAAGCTGCTGCTTATTAAGAATAATTGCTCAAAACTCAAGGTCTCGAAAGATATCTGACCAAAATTTGGCAAACTTAGAAGGATCTTACCACTTAATGCTCCCCACATGTACCTGTAAATTTCTGGCGTTATACAAGGTCCTAAGGATCTAAGGACTATGTCCTAAGGACTTTCATCAAGAATCACCCACTGTGATTCTGAAAAAAGATAGAAATCAATTCAAAACAGCTTTCGCAAGTGGTTCTTAAATTTTGCATATATCAAGCATTCATGATGTAATGCATTCGCTGATATTCCTCATAGGTCTAGACTCCCTCAGCCAATCGTCTCTGCATGGATGGCATTAAGTTATGTTCTAAGAAAGGACGAAGCATTGACTCGCTTATCCATCTAACATGTACATTGAGGATATTGGTGCTTCATTCATATTGGTGAATGTGGTCAGATGATGATAAAGAGAGAAAGAATATTTTAGACAGGAGCAGGATTACCAATGGGCCACAGATATATAAATATCAGTAACAAGTAATTTATTCACATCATAGTCACATGGGAACTATGAAGAGAAAGACAACAATATGAGAACAATAAACTAACTACCATTCAAGAATAAGATAGACTGTGAAGAAACAGCTCAGTGAAAACAGGATCCGCGCCGTCAACATATAGCTTTATCAGTCATCACTCTGTGTTTATGTGGAACGGCCAAAGGAAAATATAGAGGGCGATGTGAGGACGAAATTCTTCATAATGCACAGAAATTTTCACCTCAAAGTCTAATACATAGGTCTAGATGATATATGATCAAGGCCAGATGGAGAATTCCGCGGAAAATTGTGGAGAATAATAGGGTTAGGATCCCATGGAGGTTCCTGATCTATAAGGATAAGGAGATATCAACCACTGGACTGGACATCATAGTAATAGGTAAGGACCAGGAAATAGCGGTAGATATGGCAATATCAAATGGCAAGAGTAGCAGGAAGAAATATAGAAAGCTGGAGAAATGCCAGAGCCTTAAAGAGGAAAGAAATAAGATATGACAAAATGAAAGCCAGAGTGGTTCAGAATGAACTAAAGAAATAGCCAAATATTAGTGGGAGCACTTAGCATTGTAATTTCCTAAAATTGAGAATGACTGTGAGGGAAAACGTAGCCTAGAACAACAGAAATCTCTGGTTCGGAAGGGCGCATTGCTAGGAGCAGCTAAAATATTTTACCCGGATCCCCTAACACTCAGACCTTTGGTAGAAGAGTTAAAGGAAACATTCACAGGAGGGAGGTTGGAAGAGAATTTTTTGTTTTTTTTTAAAAATTAATTAATATATTAGGCCGATATCGGATTTGGAAATTTTTGCGATAATTTGGAAATTTGGAAATTTTTGGAAAAGCTTAGGTCTTTCTCATAAGCTTGACGTGAATTATAATTGTTGAACCATCTTGGCATACATTGATTAAATGTTGATTGAAATTGCAGCGATCACAGCATTAAAATCATTTCGCTGGCTGATGATCAAATTAGACGATTTGAAATGAAAGGTCAGGTTCTCCATGTCGTATTCGATCCTTCGGAGAGACTAATCGCAGCTGCGATAAATGATGGGTCATTACAGGTGTTGGATTTTCAGTCAGGATTGTCCAATCCTGTGTGTATTAGTTGTCAGCTTTGTTCGAGAATTATGACGACCCAGTATGTTTTTTTTTAAATTGAGCGTATTTTGCGATAATAAAATTTTCTTGATATAATTTTATAATATAATTTTTACTTTGTATATTGGGGTTTTTAATAGGCCTGATCAGCCGCGCCTTCAGTTCTCCTGGTCCATCGATGGTAAAAAATTGTTTGCTCCCACAACTGATGGATTTAAAGAAATTACCATCAAATCGATTGGCAATTTTAAGGAGAGACTTAGAATTTTTGCTCTAATGCCAGCTGTTAGTGTTTTATGCACTTAAGTTTTTAGTTTGCTTTAAATGCATTCTGATGAGTATTTGCGGTCCTTATCTTAATATTTCAATTTTCCAGGTTTTTATCATTTTCAAAAATAAATCTTTTTAAGGAAATGTTTAGTATTTGTACCGTTTCCTCTTGTGATAAGTATTTGGCATTAGCTGGAATGCGAGGAACAATTGTTATATGGTCCATACATCTTCGAAGAGTTATTTCACTAAGTTCCTACAAACGAAGTGGGATAGCAAGGACAATCAGTTCTATGATTTGGCATCCTGTTCTTAAATGGAAGTTATTTTTTGCGGATACGCAAGTTCGTCTTAAGAAATTTTAGCCAATTTTTTATAAAATTCTGATAAAATTTTTTTAGAAGCTTCACCTTTCTAAAGCGTAGAATTTTATTTCCTTTGTTATTTTGCCAAATTTTTAAGCTATGTTCTACGTGGATTCGCTATTATTCGCTGGAATATTTTTGTCATTGTACTTTTCATACTTTTCATAGCCTGATGTTTTTTTCATTTTTAATCGATTGATTAATCGAACAGTTGCTATTTCTTGTTATATTTCTGCAGAGGTTTTTCAGAGAAATTTTTTAAAATCAAGATTATTCGAAAGTTCCTCATCATACAGATTTCTGTAATAAAAAAGTTTTTTTTAGGAAAATATCTGTGCCTTATCGGATGCTGTTGATGAGGAGCCGAGGGAGTTTGTCTTAGATGATGATTCCAGAGATTCGAGAGGTTGGCTTCATGGCTTTTTTTGGGCACCGTGTACCTCTGTCGAGTGCAGATTTAAGGTTTTCGACATTTTTACATAAGCGGTTTGAATCCCGATGATAATTTTATTATCTTAAGTTTAATTTCCTGCTTAATATTTTATTAGCCGTTGCAAATTTCATATTAACTATGTTATATTTGTCAGGTAATTGGCGTTAAAATGTCGGTAGTAATGTTTCTGCATTTTAAAATTTGTTTTGGTCGCAATTCATTTTTTCATGTTTATTGTTTTTCAAAGGACAAGATTGTTATGACCATGAATGTAATTTCAGAGATGGCTGGAATTTATTTTTTTAAACGCATTTAAATCTGTTGTTTAGATACTTATTTATAGCATCAGTTCACCTGGACGCCATAAAGGAAATTTATAAAACTGGTATAGAAAATGAATTAGAGGATGTGATGGAAACGGTTTGTCAAAATCAGATGACAATGAAATATGAGCCCCCTAAGATTCCTTGTTCTTTTGTTGCGGGCTCAAATCTTCAAACTCTTTCGGAGTGTGTTATGGTGTGCATCTATTTTATATTTAATTTTGCTAAATTTTTATGAGTTTCCTGTTATTAAATTAAATCTTTCTAAACATGTATGGAGTATCGAATCAAATAAATAAGGCAGTATTCAGTTATTTTTTTTTTAAAGAGTTCTCACCATTACCGGTTAAACTCGCTCCACTGGCTTGTCGCATTGGGCAGTATGCCAGGGAGTCCCTTTGGTGATAGAAATACAGGTGAATCGCCAGCATCATCTGGATTTTTGCACAGGTTTACTCCTGCGGAGAATAGAACCTTAGTATCGGCGCTCCGAATTGGACAACAACCCGCTGAGTCATTTTGTCCCATTCAGTTATTATTAATTCTAATTAATTGTATTTTTGATTTTGAGAGGATCAGATAAGCTAATTTGGTGTGGAAAAGCAAAATTTTCATCTTTTAGTCGTTAAAAATTTCTTCGCTAAAATAATTTATTTTGGTATAAAATTTTTTTAATTTTTAATTTGAGAAATGGAATATGTATGGTTTCGTCGTATGTTCTCTATCAGATGAACGAAAATCCATCGAGGTTTGATATTACATTTCGATTAAGTTTTCAGATATTTATATTGCTTTATGAGAAGATCGAAAGTTTTTGGATCAAAATTTCATGGAGATTTCACATCTTTTTCTTTTCAATCCATTTTTCACGAGGAATATCTAGAAGAGATTTCTCTTATTAGATTTGGATTTCTTATTTTTATTAGAATCTAGAGAACTGTTAATTAGTCTATCAAGCTTTATGTGCAAAAAATTTTGAGGAAAGTAGGAAAAGTATTGAATGATTACGATATAGAATTACAGTAAAATTTTTTGCCGAATATTTTAGGCTCGTTGGCATGATGTATCTGTTTCTTCTGCGGTATTTTTTGATAATGTTTCATATTCATATGCTGATATATCGAACGCTGCTGTTGCTTTGGCATCGAAAGAGCGAAAGGAGAAAACAAGGTAACCATTTTGCTATATTTGATGAAATTTATCGCAACAAATTTTATGCGGAAAATTTTGCATTTTTTGCTAAGCAGTCTTCATAAAAATATTTTTTATCATTTTTATTTATTTTTCTGAGAAGTGGGAGAGTCTTTTCTCTTACTTTTCAGCGAATTATTTGTTTATCTTACTAAAATTGATGGTTTATCATCTGGTCACTCATGGAATATAAAAATATCCAAAGGCGAATCGATTGAAAACTTGGTTATTGGCGGTAAATTCATTGCATTATATACGTCGTTGCAATATATAAGATTATTTTCATTGGGAGGAACACAGAGACTTGTATTTTCCCATCCAGGTGAGATTCAGCGTTCTATGTTCCAGTTCGAATTTTTTATAGAAGTAAAAATTATAAATAGCATTATTGAGACACTTACGATCGAATTGTAGGATTCAGCGGTATTAGAATAATTGTCAGGAATTACAATTTTTATTCCAGAGAGGTGCAGAATGAGTAGTTAAAAAAATTATTCTCAAATTATCGGGCCGTCGTTGATATAGCTAGAATTGATCCTCGGTTTTCGAAAGCTTAAGCTGCATTTACTATTAGTGGTATCCATGAGAAATTTCTAAAAACGGGTGAGTGCTAAGGAAATTCTATCCTCCATTCTAAATTTTTAATATTGTGGAAGATCGTTTGCTGGAAATAATTGAATATTAAAAGTGATTGAACTGAATAATTTTCATGTTGGATAACGAAAACTATGTTGCTACAATCAAAAGCTTAAGGAAAAAACTATAGCATACAATATAATAACTATAGCATACAATATAATATTTATAAACGTTCGATGTATCGGGTTTTAAATCGATAAGTTAAGTGTCATTTTCGAGAGACAGTTTACTCGCAAATATGCATAGAAAAATGATTTATCTGATCAAAGATCATTTTTCATAAATAGATTCTTGGCGAAATCCGCGATATCTCCTACTTTGATTTCCAAGTAATTCTTGATAAGAGGGTCATCTAAATGCATCCATCACTCTGGTAGAGAATAAATTAATCAAACCAGAAACGGTATACGCCCTGTGAAAAAAATTTAAAAATTTTATAAATAATAAAGATGGCGCGTAAAATCATCATATATCATGTGTAAAATAAATAGAAATCTAACCATTTTTTTGCACGATATTTCAAAAATAATGGGGCTCTTTGTAGCAAAGCAGTCTTTTCAATTTCAGTTTTCAATTCTTCACTGATATATTTAGCTTTGGAAATTTTTCCTATAATTTTAATTATCAAATTTATTTTAACTTTCAGTGTACCTAGTGTTTTCAGGACCATTAATAACTATGAGCGCTTTCGATGACAACCTTGCCACTGTTGGTTTAAGCGGTGGTTACTATTTTGAGAATGGTAAACCTCAATTTGAGGCATGTTATTCCTTTTTCTTCATCTTTTGCTATTTTACTATGAATTTAGGATGCAACCAAATAGCTGAGTTCGTCATAAATTATCGAAGTATTATCTTCATCTTAAAATTCTTGATGTGAATGTGCAAATGAATTTTTACTTAACATATTGTAAATTTTTTTCTTATATAATATTCATTTTCACTCAAAATTATTTATATTATGAAATATTTATGTTAAGTCAAATAAAATTTTGAAAATAATTAAAATTTTAGATGATTGCCAATATTTACAAATTAGATCTGGCAAGGTGTTATGAAATAGATCTTAAACGTAATCCTATTGCTTTATCGCCTAATTCTGGTTTGAAATGGATTGGTTATTCCTCTAATGCAATGCTCTGTATTCTCGATAGTAAAGGTAAATTTTTGCACTTGTTTCTTCCAGATCTTGAACTTCTACAACTTGTTTTTTACATCAAAACAAACGTAAATTTTAAACTTTGTAAATTTTATAAACAGGATTTTTTTACGGATAAATCTTGTTTTCTAGGAAAGATGAAAAGTAGGGGAAGTTTATTGTTGTGAATTTTTTTTCAGATTGTGTTCGCTTGTTTATGCCTAATGGTATTTGGATTCCTGTGCACAAATTTGACACGGGTGAAGGTGAAAATATTTATATGATTGGTGTAACTGAAATATCTGATTCATCTGGATCTCGGACCATTATAAGATTCTTTTCTAATAAAGAGTGCAATTTTCCGGCATCGTCCAAACATCTACTACCAAAATCTGTTCCGCTCAATCTACCTCTATGCAATCCTGTAACTTTATATTTGTCATATTTTATTATTCTGAGATTTTTTGGATTTATTATAGACTAAGTTGCCTTTAAAAATTTCAGAGTTTTTCGGTTTCTTCGAGGCTTTAATTGCTTTTTTATTTGTTCATTCACCTTGAATAATTTTTTAAATTTTTCTGTTTGCGAGTTTTATTTGCGAGCATATTTGATAAACTGAGGTCAAAATTTAATAATCGATATTTATCAAAGAATTATGCACATGAAAAAAACTAACAAACCTTTCACTTTTCGATTTGTTGGTAAAGCACATTTTTTTAAAGGATTCCGAAAAAACTTCCTTGGAGAAGTCATTGTTGTTAGCAGAAATGCATGCAGGCATTGGTAAAACAGTGCTTCATCAAACGGTTAGTTTTTTTTCTATTTTTTCATCGTTGCACTAGATTATCATATGAATTCTCCTTTTCCATTCGATGCTCGCATACTGTTTTGTTTTATTGTGGCAAACTCAAAATAAAGAATTAATGTGTAAATATTTATTTATTTGAGGAATATGCTTCAAGGGAGAAAACACTGGCTTGGTTGTTTGCACTTGCATGTAAGGCAGGTTTTGAATATAGAGCAGTAGAACTAGCTCGCTATACGAATGATCTAAAAACGATAGATTTCATGTGTAACAGTGCATTGAAATTACGTGATAACAGAACTCTTTCAGAAAAGGCTCGTTCTTTTAAAAAAATATTTTGTTAGTGAAAAATAATTTCTGTTTATTGCGAAAATTATTGTTGAAGCAGGAATATCTCCGAATATATCTCTCCAATATATCTCCGCTTATACATTTGTGAAAGTTGTGGCATTGAATGATGACTCGTAAGCCACATTCAGCCACTCGGATTATTTGTATTTTATAGGTTTTATCCCGTTTTTGAATTTTTGAATGTTTTTTACTAAATGGGAAGCAGCATCGACTGTCACTGTTATCTCCCCGGAATTTTTCTAGGCATTATATGATTGTCTTCCATGATTATCTATCATGAAAAAAATGAAGTTCCTTTTATGGCGACTTTTACTGCTTTTATTTTATATGTATGCATTTAAATTTATTTTCTCTCTTTTTCAGGTTTGCGCTGTTGGTAAAGAGCTGATAGGAATGCCAACGGGTGGTAGAATAAATAGAACTGCTTTTGATGCGGGAAAAATTACCGATGGAATGATGCTTATGAAAGAAAATAGGGTATATCTTCTAGGATATATTGTTACTACCTTGAATTATACAGTGAATTACTTCTAATATAATTTGTTTTCGTAGTTTAAACGGAGTCGTTATAAAGATGGAGACGAGTCGGAAGCGCTTAATCAAGTTGAGAATGGAGAAGAATCAAAAAGACGAAGGTTTTCAGACGATCAAGTTGTTTATGAATTTTCTGAGGCAAAAAGCAGAGAAAAGCCTGATGACAAGGAAGGAATTTTGGATTCTTCCATGAGCAATTCATCATTAGCAAATGCATCGAGAAATCCTTTCAAGGTTTTATTTTCGTCCTAGAGATACACAAAAATATACTATAAATGATTTTTGTTTTCCAGGCGCGAAAAACATCAACAAGTGGATTTCGTTTATTTTCTCCGAGAACACCGACTTAGTTTCATTATTGAAGGTGTAAGATCATCTACTGTACTTAATGGAACTTTCAACATTTGCCAATTTCCATTTACCTTAAACGATATGAAAATTATAAATAGGCAAACAATTTGCTTTTGTAATCATAACGGCATATTTTTACTTGTCTTTATGTTTACCTTTTCCTTTTTGTTTTTTTCCATTCATGTTTTGGTTTTTTTAAGTCTTGCAGAAAATGACGAAATCATTCTCCTGTGTTGAAGATTAAAATACTGAGTACATTCGCATAAGCATTACTATTGTGATTGTAGAATATGGGGTTTTTTTTTCCAGGCGTTATTTCCTTGCACGGGCGTTCAAACGTGTATCTTGTCAAAAAATTTCTTTTGATATTTCGAATTCTTTCGCTTTTTAGGGTATTAGAGGGTATTAATTCGTTTTTTATTTCTACATTTCAAGAAGGAGGAATATTCTCCTTTTAAATTGTGTAATTGCCCATGTCCTTGTCGGGAAGTAGTGTCTTGGAAATATCATCTCCGTTTTGCCACTGTTTCAGTTTTATCCTTTTGTTGTATAGAATACATTTTGAATGCATAGGGAGACCAGCGATATATGGACTTAGGCGATGGCAAAAGGAATGGCTTTTATTACTACTATTGATGGCGTCGAACCGAGCAGCTCGGGAGACCCTTGTAGCCCCTGGAACCAACCTAACCAGTAATGGTGAGAGCTGTTAGAAGAAGAGGAAGAGATTAGCTGTACAATAGATCAGTGCAAAAGTGCCAAATATTTTAATATATCATTGTTTCTTTTTTTATTTGTTTGAACTTTTGCATACACGTATAAAAATCATACTCTGCGGTTGTAATATAAATAAACATCGTCAGTTTTTAATTCATCACACCAATCACCACTGTATGGTTCGTTGCAGTTACATTTTTGCTGCGTTTCATCCGCTTGTCCTTG